ATATATATATATATATATATATGCCATATTCTTATAATGTCTGCCTGTTCAAAAATACAGGTATTACATTGTGCTGAATTACGTATGACCACGCCCATATGCAATTCATGTAGCTTCATTATCACATTATTCCACAACTGCAGCGGTAGCACCAGGATTTGCCCGACAGGGGTCCGATGTCTCCGACATGAGGCGTCGCGCAGCGTATTCCTGTCTCTTATACACATCTAGATGTGTATAAGAGACAGCAACTATATAATATGTAGAAAATACATATAACTTTTTTCTCCCCTATGAAATGTATTTTTTCTCCCCAACGGAGGTGGGGTGGGGGGGTGAGGGTGGGTAGCCCTTGCTGACGAACCCCATCGGTTTAACCCCTTTTTCTTACGAAAGATGCAATGTGTACTGGACCTCAATTGTACGAAAAGACTTGATTCCGAACTCTGGGCGAGGAGTGGCTCGAACCAGTGCCGATGTTATGGCCGTTTAACGACGCCCCTGCCTCACTGTTTGGCCACTCGATCGACTCTAATTATTGTATACAGTACATATCTAATATTATATAATTACCCACCCATGCTTTCTGTACCAACAACTCACACAAGTGTTATCAGTGACGTACATTACATACTTTTTAAAAGATGAAATAAAGTCCTGTTGACATGTCATTATGTATGACGTTTAACATTCTATTTGTTTAGGGTTCTATTAGAACACATAGTGGGTCGTTTCTACATGTCTCCCTCCAATTAAAGATCACTTTTGGGACCGGGGTATTTAGCAGCTTTGGTCTCTAATTAGAATCCCTCTAATTAAAGACCGGCACTAAAAGTGGTCTTAAAAATCACTATTTAGACGGAAATTTAAGAAATGATATAAGGCCTAGTAAATGTAAGATCATTTTTTCATTTCAAGTTCTTAAAAATGGATTTACAGTTATATGCTTTTACTGATTCTTAATAAACCATTTCTTGGTAGTCAAATATCAAGTCATGCGCTCGTTCTACCTAAATCTCCATAAGGCCTACAATATTACTAAAAAATCGTCCCATTAAAACTATCAGTATAGGCCTATTCAATAGAGAACTGTATACGCAAAACATCATCTTACGTTGTGTAATGCTGTATTTTGATGTGTATATTCATATTATCATCATTTATTATGAAAGTAACTGCATTAAAGTCACTATATTGTAATGTATTTTTTATTTGAAGGAAAATTGTTTAATTAGGTCTGCCAAAACCATATGATACATTTATGTTTGAATGTTTTATTCCAAGAACTTGGAATGGATTGCTGTATGCTGTTGCTGATTCCCAATAAACCATTTATTGGTAGCTACACATCAAGTTCTGCGCTCGTTCTACCCAAATATCCATTACTAAAATACAAACATCAACGTCCTACTAACACAATCTTATTTAACATACCGTACACATTATATTCACAATCGTATTCAATATGGAGCGTGTATACACATCTTTACTTTTCCAGCAAAATGTTCTAAGACTAATCTACAAAAATAATTAAAAAATGTTTTTGACCTCTGAAATTAAGATGGAAAAAGAAAAGCCTATCTAAGTAGTGTGTTAAAATAGGTCTATGAATTACAGTGCAGTAGTACTAGTAACACTCTGGACTAGCATTGTTTTAGTTACAATATGAGAGTTTCCTGTGTTAAAAACATGATTTACTATACTATACTTCTTTATAAAACATAACTTGTAATTTATAATAAGAGAAATCTGTATATTATCGGTACCTGGAACAGTAACAACACGAAAGTACTATGCTACTGCACTGTAATTCATAGGCCTATTTTAATATACTACTTAGATAGGCTTTTCTTTTTCCATCTTGATTTCAGAGGTCAAAAACATTTTTCATTTATTATTCCAATCATATAGTGGTGTAGAATAGTTTTTTAAGAACATTTTGCTGGAAAATCTTTTTGGATACGACGCCCCGTTATGGAGTTATGATTTTTCAAATAACATGATGTCAGAAAATCAGCCCAAAAGCTATCTTATTTCAGTTGGTTACGCACCGCTGATTCGCAATGTTTTTTCATCACTCCAAGATGTCTACCGATTCGTGAAAAAGGCCTAACGTTCATTTTGGTCCGCAAAAACATGGTCTTTGGGCTTCTAAATAAGCTAATGGTAAAACGGGCCTCACAAAAAAAAGTGGTCTTTAATCGGAGGTAATCTTTAATTTGGAGGGGTCTTTTACTGTAGGGAGACCTGTCGATAAACCTTTTTAGGTGGGTTACTCTCACTAATATAGTACTAGGTTTCTAAATGAGAATGGCGGACGATGACGTTTTCTCTTCTTTTTTTTCATTTTTTTCCCATTTTTACGCTAGATATTGTGACGAACGGGTTTGTGAACGTAGCCATAACTACGTTAGAGCGCCGATTTGACCTTTCAAGTTCTCAAGCTGCCTTGATTTCCGGTTCTTATGATATCGGTGCTGGGCTAGGAGTCGTCCCTGTCAGCTACTACTGTGCTAATCGTCATAAGGGAAAATCATTGACAGCAGGTAAGTCCGTGATTTATAATACGCCCACTTGTCGACGGATTATTGTTATTAAGAACAAGTTACCGGTACAGGATAATATCTTTTTGAAGGTAACGAAACCATGAATTATTAACTATGACAGAAGGCGAATCCCAAGTAATATATTTTAAGATATTTTAATAAAACCACACTTTACTAAAAATGTAAACTAAATAATAAGTCCTAAAACTTTGCACTAGTTTAATGAGAGTTGCGGAATGGCAGAGCTGTTTTAAATAATATAACATTCCATATAAGCCAGGCATCCTAATTTAATTGTAACTAGGGCCATGACCACAAAAGTTGCTGCTAGCCTATGCATTTTGAATTTGAATTTTTGGTAGTATTAAAAAGTTTTAGTACCACCCGGATGTGTGGAGTCGCTAAAGCGATAGGCCTAAACTTCCTGGAGGCCTCTCAAAACATCTCATATTTTTAGTCTGAATGGAAATGTAAATCAAATCAACCTTAAGCTCATGAATCTATAAATCATTCAAAATATAGGCCTATACGTTGTTATAAAATGTATCTATGCTAACTTCATTACATTTTAGACGATTTTTAATATAAGGGGCCTACATCACTTTCGACTCCGTTCACCGCATTAGCATAGCTCTTTTATAATTTATAGACAGGCTTAGTGCGCGCTCTCATTTTCGACGAGTAAATAGTTATGATGAAATAAAATGTAGAGCCTATATTTTACCATTATAGCCTCTAATAAGGGTTGACGCCAATATACTATATACGCACCCTCTCGAAGTGAAACAAGTCTACTCATATACTGTAGTTTACAGGTAATTCGAACTTACCCCAGGGAACCATTGCAGTTCAGAACCATACACATTTTGATTACACGAGACCACCGGCTTAAATGTTTGCTCATAGATGACAGTCCGCTATAACCCGTAATAAGCCCTATTTAGGGGAGAGCAGAATACAATAAATAAGACACCGTGGTTTTGCCATTAGTGCGCACCCTAGCAAAAGTTGTATAACATCTGTGCTATGCTAATTTCTCTACTAGGACTAATTTTATTTGGATTTGGATCGTTGATATTCTCTTCTCCGCATTACTTCGCCCCGTCATACAGCTATGATAATGGTGTTAATTCCAGTCAAACATTCTGCTCCGTATCTGACGAGAGCGAAGATTCCTGTGCTGTCGGGGATGATGAGGGACAGAGTTTGTCGAATTATCTGTACGTTTTCATAGTTGCTCAGCTCACAATGGGCCTTGCGGTTACGCCACTCTACACCGTCGGAGTCGCGTACTTGGATGAAAATGTTAAACACAAGGTCATTGGTGCTTATATAGGTATGTTTATCATTCTTTTATTACAGATTTTGTAATCACTAAACAAATTGGCCCATTGATATTTTAGTCTCAGAAATTGCATTGAAACAACATTGGGTCTAGACAGGTAATATTATCAGCTGTGGTTGTGGACTTCCTTGACGTTTAGTACCGTAACAATCGCTTATTAATTTCATTTCGGTTTTTTTTTTTTGTCACTATACATACAATAGAGTTTCGGAAAACAAAAACACATGACAATAACAAGGACATAATTAACAATCGTTGAAGTAATACAGGTTTCCCTCCAAGTATGACATCACATCATTACTATATAATATAAGCTCATCATTACTATATGGTGGCATACAAAAGTTTTTTGACTAAAGAAAGTTTGCTGAAGTGACTTTCCCAGCGTTGGAATGTGGAAATTCACTAATAATATTAAACTTTCTCCTAGTCGCTAACATTTGGGGGAAAAAAATCTACCTTTATGGTTAAAGTTATTCATGTCATCTAAATTATAATGCATATTATTAGTACGGTAGTCGAAATGAATAACATATCATTACAATTTTGACAAAAATATCATTATCACAGAAATATTACTATATGTAAAGACACCGTAAATGTAACACTAGCATATGTTACATTTATAACATCATTATTAGATTGTAAAATTGATTAATCTCAAACCAAGTTGTAGACACCGTATCATTAAGCTACTTTGTAAATCGATTGTCTATCATCAGGTCTTTGTACATTTAGGCCTGCCGCACACTATGCCTACCTGCTTACGCCAAATTACACGGCTATCAAATTTTATTTGATTTTATTTTACACGTCTAAATATGGGCGTGATGACATCATCTCAAGACAATAAATGGGCCTTGTGCGATTATGGTCTTGATATGTCGTCGTCATGAGCATATTTTGGGCGTGTCACGTGTTTTTGTCAAATACAATTTGACTAGTTTTTCGTCAAGTAAACGTTGATAGTGTGGACAGAGCTTTAGTAACCAGTGGCGGATCCAAGAGGGGCCCAGCCGGCCAGTTCCCCCCTCCCCCACTTCCCCCTACATTTTTTAAAATAAAGAAAAATTGAGAAAGAAAATTCTAATCAAATTTTGAGCCTAAATGTGCCATTTCCAGCCATAATCATAAATTTCTTCCCTCAGCCCCACCATGGTTGGGGCTGAGTATAGACCATCCGTCTGTGAAATCCCTCTCCGGGTCCCCTCTAGGTCTATTGCAAATTCCTAAATCTGCCACTGGTAACCAGATGGTGTACATGCGCCTATGCTAAAGAATTTCTTTTTTTCTGAACACTAGGATTCAAACTTCAATGTCTAAAGCCCTGTCCAGACTATCAAACCTTATATTGCAAAATCATGTGACATGCTTAAATATGGTCATGATGACATCACATCATGACTATAATATGGGCATACAACAGTTTTATGTCAAAGAAAACTTGATAATCTGAACAGAGCTTAAAAACCTGTCCAATTGGTATTTGACAAAAATCAAAGTGACATGCTTAAATATGGTCACAATGACATCACATCATGACCATATCTAGTCGCATCGTGACTATATATAGGCAACAAACTGAACTTTGAAGATACGTACGTTTTGTATCAAATTTTATTTGAACAATGTTGCTATAGTTATTTGGGAAATGTTGTGCACCTTTGATGATAGTGTCTCTTATAGTACATTGTAACAATTAGTTTGTGCCTCTATGGGGTGTGTTACGTACATGTTGGCCTACTCTTCGACCCATACTATACTTTAACATTATAGGCCTAATTGTTGTTGCATTTTATGTGTTTTTATGAAATGTTAGTATTAGGCTTGCCTTTCCAAAGGCAGCACATTGTCGCTAATTGTTTAACTGAGTAATTAGCAGGAGAATGTGACAGTATTGTATACTTTAGTACAGAGAAGCCGTAATACCTTTATTAATATTTTTTTAAATTTTATTATTATATTTATTTAAAAAAATTATCGGAAAAAAAAATTCAACTGTAATTATTAGCTTATTAGTTATTGTGTGTACAGTACAATTTTAACACGTTTTTTTTTTTTTTTTTTTTTAATTTCTTTGTTTTTTTTTTTTGTTTTTTTTTTTGTTTTTTACAATATAGGTATCTTTTTGATGGTATCTATCTTGGCTTCTGCATTAGGATTTGTGGCCGGAGGAATAATATTGAACAATGTTTACATAAATATTATCAAAAATAGCAGGTATATAATATCAGACCACCTAATTGAAATACAAATTATTTAAAGAAGAATTATAAATAATATATCAATAAATTTTTAGTTTATTTTAGGAGTTTTCATTAACTATATATTTTTATTATATTTTGAATATACTCTATGATTTATATATTATTATGAGTTAAGCAATGCTAATAATGTCTTTAAATTCTTCTTGAAAATTAATTCAGGCCTACCTCTCGCCGTTTTTAACATAGAATGCTAGTCCTATTCCATAGGACCGGCAATACATAATAACAGTCAAGCGGCTTATATCTAAATTATAATATAACTATCTTATCATGTTAAATTTATTATAATTATGTTGTAAAGTGAAGATAAGTGAATACTTCAACCAATCTTCAAAGAATGCTAAATTTCACAAGATTATAAAATACAGGCTGTATGACTTTGACCTTCCTTAGTTGGAACTACGAGAAGGCATGTTATGTGACAGAGATACACATTCATTTGCTGAATTTTATTATGCTTAAGTTTTAGAGAATTGTATTCAATAAAAATAGGCAATGCAACCGTTTCAATGATCCAGTACATCGATTTGTTGAATTTTCAACCAAACATTCGCATTTCATTTGTATTTTTTATAATGATTGCATGTATTCTTCTTTGTTTTGCTTGATGTTAGCTCTACTCCGGCTTCATCATCGGCAGACTGGATGGGTGCATGGTGGCTAGGCTTTGTCATCAGTGCCATTTTCTGCTTCATGTCTGCCATTCCGATGAGCTGTTTTCCAGCCCATTTACCTGGTACGTTTGATAGACAGTGGCCTACATTTTTCACAATTATTACCACCTTTATTTTTCATTTTTATTGGGTTTTTTTTGTTATTGAAGATGAGGAAAAACGGTGGTGATGATGATAGCAATAACGAACGATGTGTGATGGGGGTAACAATGATGACGATGTAACAATAATAGTGAGAACGTCTATAAAAAAAAAGTTGTTGACGATGGTGATGTTTACAATGATGACGAAGACTACGAAGATGACAATAATGATGGCGATAAAGATGGTGGTGCTGATTACGAAGAAGAAGATGATGATGATGATGATAATGATAACCACTATTACAGAATGATAAATATTTAATGTCTATGATGAAGATACATTAATTACGAAGATAGTGAAATTGATCAAGATGGATATGTACAATACGATAAAGATGATAAAGCCGAAGTTATGTTATAGCTTCAAGTAGGATAATTATTGCAAAATTACATTCACTATGGTTCGCAAATCCCCTATAGGCTACGATGAGATAAGTAAAGAAAAATTAGAGGCGGCACGTTCGAAAGGAGAATATGACGAGGTTATTTTGGTGTCCAGGACAGACTTTGGAAAGTGGAATGACTTGCCTTCGGCGACATGGAACTTACTCAAAAACGGCACTTATCGATACCTAACATTGGGCGCATGCTGCCAATCCATGGTGTTATTAGGAATTACAGTATTTCTAGCCAAATTCCTCGAAGTTATGTTTTTGTTGAGTCCAGGAACGGCAGGGTCTGTGACAGGTGTGTAGACCTGCTTCTTTGTAATATCCTATTTCAATACAACAATAGGTCCTACCTATAAAATAACCACTGTGGTGGTGATGTTGGTGTTAATTAATCAGTACCGGTAAGGTGTCTGTTTGTACAAAATTCGTGATAAACATTGTAATTTGAAGTCAATCGTGGGCAGTTTTGCTTTTTACTGCAATAAGCTACGTAAAATGAATCGCTTTTAATTACTGATATTTTCAATGTTATTTCCATTTAATGTTTGTCTCATCATTATTAACATCAGCATTATTGTACTCGTAATCATTTAGAGAGTGACTTCCAAAGTTCATTGTATTGGCCCGCTGTCATGACGACATTTTCATTCATTACATTGGAGGGTCCAAGAATTATGGATAGGAGGAGGGGGAGGGGCAGGAGGCAGGAAGGGACATTCACAGTTGGAGGGTTTAGACTATCTCAGCCCCCACCTTTGTTGGGGCTGAGGTAAGAATTTTTTTTCCATTTTTTTTTTTATTTTCAAAAATTTAAGGGTGGGGAGGGGGCGGTCGCCTATCCCCTTGAATCAGTATCTGATTATTATATAATTATAAATTTAACAACAGGCTATTGATTAATTTTTATTGTTATTTTTTTATGCAATCATTGTCATTTATTTTTTTTTAAACGATAATTATTAGTAATGTTGGTGTTAATAAATCATTTGTCTTTGTGTTATAACTAAGATTATTATTAATACAAATAATATTTTATGTATAGGGTTATTTGGAACAATATTCGGCGCACTAGCTACGATTTTATCAGGTTGGGCAATCCGAAAATGGAAAATGGATATTCCTGAAATGTTAAAGATGATTATGATATCAGCAGTCATTTTTGGGATAGTAATATTTTCATGTTTTCTTAACTGTCCAGAGCCTCCGTTAGTTGGTATATCCCAACCATACGACTCTTCATCCAGGTAAAGTATACTAAGTTACCTTTAACGGGGGTCAATATGTTTACGTCACTAATGGTCGTAGCCATGACTACGATTTTCTATATTTTGGCTAATGTGATGCAAGTCCAAGTATTTTCAAACATTACATAAAAATATTAAATGATAGTATAAGAATATAGTAATTGGGCTATTATGTTATTCAACAATAATAGTATTACTAGTGTGGCGATTGTCAGAACGATTAATGCAGGCCGGGCATCGCAAACTAAAAAGTAGGTGGTCCAGTGTATAGCAGTTGTTCACCGTAAAGAATTCATCATTCTTGAAGAGTAGGGGCTCCTGTGTACAGGTTGAGGTAGCCCTTGGGGTGAACTGACCAACGAGCGGGCGACGTACGGCGGTCGTACATCTTCAAGGCACATCTCTGCTTTACAATGCGACGTTTTCTGATTGTCGGAGACAGTCTGGGCAGATTGTCATTCAAACCATCAGTTGTGTGCGCCTTGTCCTGATGCGTTTTACGTGGAATGTCGTCGAAGAACTTTATTGAACGAACTACTAATCCACGCATATTTCACATTGAAACCGGCATAATGTGCTATATTAAAAACCGAAAGGTCCACTGATTAATCTCAGATAAGAAAGTATAATACTAGGTGATGATGACATAATTAATGTCGAAATATTGAATCCCAACACGATGGCGTGTATTTCAATAATTGGAGTATGTATTATACTTTCTTGTGCTATATTCTATTATATTTACTATAGGTGTACTTGGGTACAGGCCTATTATAGGCCAACGTAAACACTCTAAACAATAGGCCCTAAGTCTTGAGTAGAATTAATGCTTATGAAAAGCTTGCAGGTCTAAGAATATAACTTCCTTCTTATACACTATAAATCGGCCTCGACCTATCTTACAATATTTAGATATCCTTGTTTTTTCCGCAGTAAATCTGAATTAATATCCCAGTGCAATAAGGATTGCCCGTGCAGCGATGCGACCTATAATGCCGTATGCGGTTCGGATGGTCGAGTATATTTTGATGCTTGCTTTGCCGGATGTACAGAGTACCATGAACAGGTAGGTCGGCAGGTGTGTAAGGGAAGTTATAGACCTAAAGGAAAATTTTGCTAACCCTAGGCCTATTAATATCATTTCACTTTTATTTTCCTCTAACTGCAAATACCATTGCCGTTCCGACAGCGTTGTACGACGCAGCTCGACAGGATTTACCGTCATTTAGCACTCTTTAGGTCGCCGTGAGAATATTAAACATGTTGTTTAAAGTTCTACGACGCGACTATCCCCGACGACGCAACCCGACGCGACTCATCGTCGACGTTGAGTTGGCTTTTAAGTTTGGTTTCCAAACAATCGCCGACAGCTTTCAATGATGCTGACGTGTCGGGTACTACCGTACTACGCAGTATAACGATTGCTACTGAAAACACTGTAGCGATTTTATGGAAACCACGCTTTACAGTAGGCCTATATCAATACCTCTGAAAAGCGGGATGGAAAAGACGAATAAATAGTAAATTTCTCATTTGTATGTGTAGCACTGTTCAAAAATGTGAAATACAATGGTGGAAGTGGAAAGAAATGAAAAAAGGAGACATGGTCTTTGTCTAAACATTTATAGGCTTTAGTGCATCAAAAGTAGATGCTGTTAAGCAGGCCTACGTCTGTTGGATGCGACGAATGTGTGTGCCCAGTCAAAAAGATCTATACTTAAACGTCTAGTACTACTAGTAGGCTTATGGAAGATTTGTATAAAATGGGGAGTGGTTTGGAGAACATACACTTAGCGTATGGTGTTTGTGTGACCATGGTATGACAATAGTCAGTAACTTATGTTTTGAAGTTGTAAGTAGCAGTACAATGCATTATTGGTACTTAATATCCATACTGTACTATAATATACCTGATCGCGTATTCTTTTTTTGTTCTTATGTTGATATTAGCAAAAATTAAAACTATTGTACAAACCATAATACAAATAGTCTTTATGCTTAATTAGTTAATTAGTACGCCAAACGTTAACGCTAAAACACTCTAAACTGCGACCTCCAGACAAATCTTTTACAGTCTACGATTGACGTTCAAAACATACCAAAATGCATTGTGCGAAATCAGGCTTAAGTCAAGGGTTTGGTCTGTTTCAAAGTATATATAAATACACAAGCTAATGTTGGTACCACTGATTAATTTACTATTCTTCTACAGTCTAAGACGTTTCAGAATTGTTCATGTATATTAGCACGTGATGATAATGCAGATCAACAAAGTTCGGCGACTGATGGTGCATGTGCAACTGAGACATGCGCAAATCTGTACTTATATCTGGCCTTGTTTAGTATAGCCAGCGCATGTATATTTATCCCTGGCCCACCTGGTGACACCATCACTCTCAGGTAGGTGTACATTTTCTTGGTGCGAATTTTTGCCCATGGGGTAGGGTGTTCTAGCACGACTACTTTTGACCTGGAAGTGTCTTGCAAGACGTTGAATATTTACCTATCAGTTTCTGTTTAATTATCTGAACCAACATGAGGTAAACATAGTGTGTACTGGGGTACATCTAAATCCGGGGACACATTAAGCCGGCCGACCATCGTCTGAGCGATTCAGTTCAAACAATTCAATTCCATCCAAACGGCGTCATGTCGTTCAGTGGTCACCTAGAGCCAAGTGTAACCGACTTTAGGCCTATACAATATGTCATAGTAGAAAATAAAATTAACATTTACTGTACTGAGGTCATTTCAACTTCCTTAAAAGCAAGTTCTCAAGTTGACAAGTATGAATTCATGATGTTATTATTTACTAAAGGTGCTTAGGTTTAAATTGTATAATTGTATAATTTCCAATCTTCATGTGTGTTTTCAGATGTGTTCCACATAGTCAAAGATCGCTCGCACTTGCAGTACAATGGCTAATGTTACGCTGTCTTGGTACGATACCAGGTCCCTTCCTGATAGGAAGTTTATTCGACGGTAGTTGCATTCTCTGGAATGAAAACTGTGATGGTTCCCAGGGTAGGTGCCATAAATACGATCGGTTGAAGCTCGGCGCACTCTTCGTCGGTGTAAGCGTTGGTTTAAATATAATCGGCTTAGTGTTCTACTGCTTGTCATACGTTTCACACAAGAGAAAAACACCGACAAAATCTGAGGAGAATTTAGACGTTTCAACAATGACCGAAAACACAATACTTTGAGATGTCCTAACTTCAGTACAGAAAATAAATTCTTTCTCAAAATGTGTATTTTCATATATTTTTATAATATTTTAATCAGTTTTTTATTGTTTATGAAATTTTCTTGGTGGCTTAATACAGTACTATGTAATTGATAAGTACAAATTCTACTATTTCACGCGCAATTACTGTGTATATTTGAATGTACAAACACAGAAGTTAGTCGAGTGTGATGTGTTCTAATTGGCTTCAAAATGGGAAAATAATGGATATAATGTGATTTTAATTAGTTTTTAATTGTTTATGAATTTTTTTCTGCTTAATGCAATACTTTGAAATTGATTCACACAAATTCTACTATTTCACGCACGAGCAATTAGTGTGTAGATTTGAATGAACGAACACAAAAGTTAGTCGAGTCTGATATATTCTGATTGGCTTAAAATTGGGAAAATACGGTAGTATATATAATGTGTTATATCACTATTCAACTACAGGTGGTACATATGAGAGGGATGCACTATAATGTTGCACCATTATTGCACTATTTTTGTTACCGTCACTTAGGAAACTTAATAAGACCAGGCCTCTTATGTAGCCCTTTTGACTACGTTAACCAGACCTCTGCGAGGGCCGAGGCATTCAGTGTTTCGTGACAAAATTATTGATTTCTTATCCTAGCAATTACAGAGGTTTCTTTGATCTGCGACCGACATTCCCAATTCCGAAGATTCTGAACCTCCATTTTAAGTCCATATCCGAGAAGACTTGGTTCTACTAACCGAAACCTGGGCGAGGCTCGGCTGGAATCAGCGTCGATGTTAAGGCTCTAGTTAGCGGCGCCCCTGCCTGCGAATTAACCATACGGCAAGTAACTTTGGCCAGCAGGTACCTATTTGTATTTCTTGTAGTTCTGTGGGTTCGTACAATTTTCAAAATATTTTATCCATAATAATAATTGGCAGTATATTAAGGTTATTAAATGTAAATATATAAGTCAACTCTAACGTCATTTTATAGCATTTTTAGCGCCAAAATGCTAAAAAAAATTAAAAATAACTTCTTAAAATAATACAATAATAATAATACTCTAATTATTTCAATATTTTGTGAACGAGGATGAGCTTCCGAAAAAGCGTCTGCTTAATGTCAATTTTCACTTTAATTTCGATGAAAGCATCTTTTTTGTTAGTTTGTTAATATGCTGACCAAAGCACCCAATATGAAAATTACAAAAGCAAAAAACAGGCCCCCACCCCCTTTTTCCCATTACTCAACAGTGGCGGATCTAGGATTTATCAATGGGGGTGAATAATGCGATTTGCGAAGCACCAAGCGCGGGGGGTGGTGGCGTGGTTTTGGCAAGGGCACAGATCAGTTTCGAAAGGTGAGAGGGATATTTCGTGAGTCCACGCCCATCACACTTTCGTTAAAACCTTGGTTAATTTATGCAGTTCCTTTCAACAATTTTCAGGCATCTTACTTACGACTTACGAAATTATTACATTGCGGACGAAAAGTGAGGAGACCAACCTCCCACCCCCTTAAATATTTGGCGACGTGTTCCACTGTCCGCCATTGATCATGGGTTTTGGGAGGGCCGCCCATTTCAATTGAGATTTGTTTGGAATTAGTAGACGACTAGACGCTCTTGGATGACATCTGAAAAGAAGTTAAGCTTAAAATAAAAAGTGTATGCTTTACGAAAGTAACCTACTACTCGTAACATGTATATGAGAAGCAAACACACAAGACGAGCGACCATTTTTTTTTCACTGTCACCGAAGGGGGTGGGGGAGGCTAGCCACCCTATTCACCCCCCTCTAGATTCACAAATTGCTCAACCCCAAGTGGATTATTTTTATTCAGTTTAGTTGTAAAAGTATTGAGTGCAATTCGTTGACTCTTTGAATGCAATTTAAAAATGTAGTACAGTAATAGTAATAGCGCCCATGTGTATAAATTGCTCGTAATTTTACTCCTATTTTTATAGTAATTTGATGCCTTTAAATTTGATCTGTCTGTACAGAGTGTGTGGTTGTAAAGAGGTGTGTATATGCCTCTCTGTATTTATTATTATTAAAATGCAAAATACCATGAGTGAGGTAAGAGGTATGAGCTCCCCATTGACTATGGTCATATATTATTACGATATAATTTTTTAATTTCGGTCTAAATCGACCGAAGGGACTTTTGAAGGAGCAGAACATGTAATTTTTTTTTACTCTCTCAGTAACATTTATTTCGTAATGGTCATAAGAAAACATACATATGAAAAATTATTATATTCTTAAAATAACAAAATTTGATTATATTAGACTTGCAGGTGAAAAAAAAAAATGCGATGTGATGTAATAACATCATTGGCGTCCTGAACATCAAAAAGGTTGAAATGGTGGTTTGCCCCCTACTCGACCCGGGACCAGCTGCACCAGCTTACAGGGTCCGAAGAATAATAAGCCTTTAACCTGTTTTCCACTTGGCAAATTTATTCGCGCGAATGGAAAGCAGCGGCTCATGCACATGCGAATTCACATTTCTATCGGGAGTTTTTGCTAGCGAATAAATGCGCAACCAATCAACTGAGGAAGCGAACTGACGCTTTGATTCGCGCGAATAAATTCGACTAGTGGAAAACCAGCTTTAAAGGTGGTCAGCTCTTCTGAGTTATAGAAGTGCACTTTTCTTAAGCTACCCCTGTCCAGCATTTCAATTTGTTACATAATTATTGTCATTGTTATTGTAAATATTGGTCGGAATACATAAATATATAAAAATGGTAAGAAAAATTTAGGGGCCGGGGCCTCTTCGTTACGCCGCTGGAACTGGCAGTAACCTTCAATTGAATTTATTCCACATTTATATCTAACATAACGTATCATACCAGATTTGCTTCGTATACATTCCAAAATATTACTTTTCACATTGTCTAGTCGTACAGAGAAAAAAAATAACCAAAAATAGTCAATTTTCTTGTTTTGGTCACTCATGTTGCTCAATAGGTCCACATATTAAAATAATTATTTTTACATGAAAAGCAATTTTATTTGCAGTTTTATTTTGTAAAAAATGTTTATTTTTTATATAAAGAAATATGAGTTTGATCCATTTTTCATTTTAGTGTTTTCACAGACTAGATAGGAAGTTTTTTAATTCTGGTTATCAACACACACAAGGAAATTATGGAGCATTGATATAAAGGAGTCCTTTGAAGCGGACTTTCAATAAAGGTAAAAAGGGATTTTCCCTCAAGTCCATGTCAAGATGACAGCAAATAGTATACAATTGCAGAAAGTTCGACTGCCCTGACTTCGTCTCTGCGCACAATGAAACGTTAAAAAACTACTACCACGTGGCGGGGGGCGCCCTACTAGAATTCGAATAGATACAGTTTAACCTGCAGTAGTGTCGCCCATATAACGCTTACCGTTCGAAACTCGCCTCTTGAAGGACGTTCTAATACTTTTTTTTTAAATAGGATTAATCAATCAGTCAATCAATTTATTCATCAACTTTAGGCCATTGGCCCTTTGTATACATAAAGAATCATAAAATAATAGCGTCGCCCATAATAAGAGTGTCGCCCATATAACGCTTACCGTTCGAAACTCGCCTCTTGAAGGACGACGTAATACTTTTTTAATAGGATTAATCAATCAATCAATTTATTCATCAACTTTAGGCCATTGGCTCTTTGTGTACATAAAGAATCATAAAATAATAGCGAACAATGTGGAAAATCAAATAGTTGTAATAGGTTATCTATCTCCGTTCTCCTAAATGCATGGGTGTAAATAAATGCATATTTTTTGTATTATTAGTGGACTGTGCGAGCTATAAAGTTATATTGTGTAGGGAAACGAATATAATATCGTGGGATGTATTTTTCTCTTAAATCACTGTATAATTTACATTGAGAAGAAAATGTAATTCATCTTCAATATCCCCCTTACAAAAGCAAATTCTATCCTCGAAGTTAATATTTAACTTTCTACCTTCCTCAATTTTTAAATTGTGGCTAGAAATGCGGAACGAAGTAAAGATCTTTTTGAAATATGGATTTAAATTAGAAGAAAGGTAGTTTTCAAAAGCAATATAATATTTGAACAGTAACATTTTAGCCTATTTGACTCGTTAACTTGTGACTCCCATTCTTGTTGGTCAATATCTAAAGAACGTTATTTAACATGACTTAAAAAGCAAACATCACCACCAACACCTTGGTTAAGCCATGCTTCCCCGAACCAAATTAACGGAGTTATTT